ACAGTATATCTATGTAAAGACTGAGCAGGTAACTGGCAGCTTAGACTCAATGATGGTCTGTGTGTGGGCAGAGCTAGTCTGCACAATTTCATTGGCAACAATTAGCTTTTATGAGCTTTGTCCTGCAGCTTGCTCACATGACAGATCACATTCACCAATGTGATGGTTGATGTCATCCCACCCCTGAAACTCCTGCATTCACTCTGAGCCAGTATAGAAACAATTATATATGACCCATCACATCAAATTTAGGATTAAGTCAGTTTTGTTAAAATGACCTAATTCCTAATTTTTTAAGATCCATTTTGATTCCTGGATCATCCTGGAGATTGTTGTAGAGATATGTGTTGATTTTTCTTCCTAATAATTTGGTTTAAGTCCTATTTTCAGGTYATTATGATTAGGAGTGTTTGATGTCACTTTAAAAAGGAAATTTCAAACCATATTTGGATATTAAGATTTTCCAGCTGGAAATTTAGAAAAAAAGTTTTACTTGCAGAAAAAAATTACAAAATATAAGGCTCTTCTGCTCAAAATCTAGTTATTATTGTTTTTTATTTTTATTTTATTTTATTTTTGGATAGATATTGCTCAAAAAAGGGATTAAAAAACTTGAAGATAATATTTCAGACAGTTTTCTTTGTATGACCTGTAAATAAGGTTCGTTATTTTAACCTTGTGAGTACCAGTAGTTCAAATTTGTTCTCCATAGATGACATTTGTAAAACTGAATATCTCTCACCCACTTCCTATTATTGAATCAACTCCTTTTGGTATCAGGCTACAGAGAACATTTAGGGCTTTTCAATGATGACAAATTTGTAGGGCTTACGCACCTTTCTCTTCCTCATTCAGGATAATGGTGTCCCTCAGTGAAAGCACGTTTTATGGGAAGAGGAAAGGTAAATGCATAATACCTTTTACTGAACAAATTTTGACTTGAAATGTTTGCATTATACAAGTCTGTAATTAACACATTTAAACACTGTCTGATTACAGTGCCTTGCAAAACTATTCGGCCCCCTTGAACTTTTCAACCTTTTGCCACATTTCAGGCTTCATACATAAAGATGTAAATTTGAATTTTTTTGTGAAGAATCAACAAGTGGGACACAATCGTGAAGTGAAACGAAATTTATTGAATATTTTAAGCTTTTTTAACAAATAAAAAACTGATAAATTGAGCATGCTAAATTATTCGGCCCCCTTTGCGTTAATACATTKTAGCTCCACTTTTTGCTGTGATTACAGCTGCAAGTGGCTCGCGGTATGTCTCTATCAGTTTTGCACATTGAGAGACTGAAGTTCTTGCCCATTCTTCATTGCAGAATAGCTTGAGCTCAGTGAGATTGGATGGAGAGTGTTTGTGAACAACAGTTTTCAGCTCTTTCCATGGATTCTCGATTGGATTCAGGTCTGGACTTTGACTTGGCAATTCTAAAATCTGGATATGCTGATTTGTGAACCATTCCATTGTAGATTTTGCTTTATGCTTTGGATGTTTTGTCTTGTTGGAAGATAAATTTCCGTCCGATAGTTTCAGGTCTTTTGCAGACTCCAACAGGTTTTCTTCCAGAATGGTCCTGTATTTGGCTCCGTCCGTCTTCCCTGTCCCTGCTGAAGAAAAGCAGGACCAAACCATGATGCTGCCACCACCATGTTTGACAGTGGGGATGATGTGTTCAGGGTGATGAGCTGTGTGGCAGAAGTTAGCTGTCAAGCTAATTATTCACAGACTCCACAGTAGATATCAAAACAAGGTAAAGATGGTTACTTTTATTGCTTGCTGGCTCATACAATACTGATTRAGGATTCAACCCCATATTGTTTAAGCTACCACACAATCCAGTCTAAATGATGTCATACATACAAACTTTAAAAATAAATTAAATTATTTGTTCAACTAACTTGATACGAGTTTAGTTTTATTCAATGTTTCCATAGTTGGTCCCCACTGAAGTGCACTTTATCCACRTCTTGTTAAAATGACTAATAAACAGTAAACACCCATGGGGGAAATACATGCTCACAATATTTACCAGAAACWGTCAGTAAGGGTTTGAATATTTAATGAGCATAAATTAATTCTCAAGAGACTTTGGTCTTGTGTGATATTTTTCTTTGTTAGACCTAGGAATGATTTACAAAACTGAAAAACAATATTTCCATAACAATGATAAACCTCATAGTTTGGAAAGTCTAGAAGAGCCCCAGGCTTTACTTCTGATGTTTTTGCTAGATGTTTCATCTGAAACTTTATAAGAATCTRTAATCACATTTTAAATKAGWCAAATGTATTYRGAGATTAGTCGTTCTGCACCAACTCTCCAGATGTTCCTGCCTTGTCATCTGCAAACTTTACAGTTTGACAGCCTAGATGGTTATCTGAGCAGTCAGTGTAAACAGGAGGGGACTCAGTACACATCCCTGAGGGGAACCAGTTCTGTGGACTATGGCAGGTGCAGAGACACTGTGGATACTCAGACTGCAGCATGTTGGTCAGGATGTCCAGAACCCAGGTACAGGCTCTGATGCTTACTGCTGCTTCACTCAGATAACCTGCTTGTGGGCACTTTAAAGATGAAGGACCCTCTGTAGTTGAAATGGAGCCTAGGCATAAATTCAGACTGGAAGACTCTTCCTGCCTCACCTGCTTTCCCCGCCTGCTGCGTCGAGCGCCCAGCTGCCTCCAATCGTCTCAGTCCCAGCCTCATCCAATCAGCTCCTCTACCAGTGCATAAATACCAGTCAGCTCAATCGCCCCGTCTGCATGCCAGTTGACCGTCAACCTACCACCACCCCTCCTCCACCCTTTATCTTCTGAAGAGGGTGCACTTGATCCAGTTTCAAGTCCCTTTCCAGTCCTCTAACCCAGCCGGTCGAGGCAGATGGCCGCCTGCCCTGAGCCTGGTTCTGCCGGAGGTTTCTTCCTGTTATCAGGAAGTTTTTCCTCTCCACTGTCGCTCAGGATGGGAGTCTGTGATGAAGTGATTCATCACAATCTGCTGCCTTCCTCTTTTAATTATTTATTTTTGACCTCCACCACCAGTGTCGGGCCCCGGGGGGATCAAATCTCCTTCCCCTAACTCAAAGCATCTCGTATGAGATTTCAGCTTCACTCAGCGCTCTCGTCCTCTGCCGGGGTCCGAGCACCAAACTCTAATGCCATTTATGTCAGTAACCATGTGGTCCAGTCATGTCAATAAACCTCCTAATTCCAGTCTGTCTTGTGTGAGTCTTTCCAGGTTGAATTGGTTGCACATCATGAAAACAAACATAAGACCAAATAAAAATATCCTGCATTATTAGTCTCAGGGGACATTTTACTGCCTACTTGCATAATTATTAAGACACTAAGAAGCTTCAACCTGTATGAATCATTCAAAAGCTGCACTTAACTGCTTTTTTGAACAAGAAGAAAAAGTTAGAGTTGTTGCTACAAGATGCATAACCAGATTAACATGTTTTTGTCTGAAAAAAAACTAAAAAAGAGGCTTTAGAACGTGTTAAAAGTCCCTTCAGTGCTTTAATTTTTCTATCTAGTTTTGAAGGAAACGAGTTTACATATATTTTTAAATATTTTTACAGTTTATTTTTTTAGGCACCTACAATTTTGAAATTTTATATCTACAAAAACTACATTTACTCCTGATACTAACTTTTCTTCAACAGAGGAATTACCATTTAAATGTCCAGCTAGGAAAGCGATTACCTGTTTTATAATGTGCTGAGTGAGGTTTGTGTTACACTGGCAGCGCTATATGTCGCTCAAACATGGCAAGCTGAATCGGTGTGACTATTGAGGAAAATAAGTGCTATGTCATTTGTAATCAAGCAAAACAAAGATCTGTTTGTAATCAAGCTAGATTGTTACAGTTTAAAATTATTCACAGTGAGGCAGATCTGCATTACAAAACATACATTTCTGTCAATAAAAGCAGAAACACATAAAGGCTTTTTGTTTTAAAGCATTGGTCACTGTCACTGCCCAGTCTGTTCCAGAAGCACGATCTGTACTGTTTGTTTGTAGCATGTAGCGTTCTGCTAGACTGACGACAAATTTAATGATTTCAATCTTTCATCACCTGCAACGTTTCTTAGAAAAGGCAATGTTTGCAACAGATGTGGATTTTTATTCCAGGAAAAAAGTAAATTAAATATGAGATGAATTATAACATGATTGTCTAGGTCAGTTTAGATCTGCAAGTTAATATAAATTAATATGTGCGCATTGTAATTCTATACTTTATTAATCAGAATGTACAGTACATTATATTAAAACAGTTTTCAGAATATAATTTAGCACACCTTCATAAGTGAGCATGGAAATAATTAAAATAATTATTTTCAGCATTTTTTTTCCTAAATCAAGCACTTTAACAGGTAATCCAGAAGTATAGCGCATGTGCAAATTAGCTGTATTTCATTATAGTACGTGCCCAAATCTTTTAGCACATGCGCAAGTGAAGTGACGGTACGGATCGTGCTTCCAGAACAGATGGGCAGTGACAATAACTTCCTTGCTGATATGTATATACTGGGCAATTATCAGTAGGAATTTTAAATGTTTTTAAAAATAAATAAATTAAAATAGGAAACAAAAAATAAAATAAAACGTCTTGAGCTTTTAGTTCATTTTATATAACCAATATACAGTAATATATACATATAATTCATTATGGCCTAAAAAAGGTTTTTCAAATCATGACAGTTCTTGGCCTTTATGCTTTAGCAGGTTGTTTATGCTACTTTTGTTTCTTCCTCCACATYCAACATGAGAGTACTTTTGTTGCATTTGTAAACAATAAAGAGAACATTTTTAAGCACACATAGCTTTTATTGCAATATTCAGTCAAGTCCATGAATTAACTGATCAAAAACATCCAGAAATCATTCTAAAGTGAGAAAGTGGACAATCTTCTACATAAGATACTGTATTAGTTATTTCAATTAACATTTAAAACTAAGACATGCTGTCTAGATGGATGGATGGATGGATGGCTAAGGTAAAACCTGAAGCAAACATTTTATGGTAGCTACAAAATCAATTTTAAACAAAGAATTATGTCTTTTAAATGTTGTCAGTCAAATTCATTGTTTCAAAAAACAGTGACGTGGGCTGCCTTAACAAATGTTCATACTCAGGCAATACAGCTAAATATGCTAAATCAAGAAGACATCAACCAAAGCCTAGTTACTTAGCCAGGGCCTGGTTTAACTGACAGTTTCAGTCGACCACATAGATAGTACAGCAGAACAGGTCTGATAGTCTGATCTCTGAGACCATAAATGAGTGAAGACAGACATCGGGGTAAGATGATGATAATCACATAAAAAACATTATGGACCCAGACAAATACTATCCTTGTAAKGGTTGTTGCCAGAGCTACAATCAGTGGGTAGTAAATGGTTGAGGACAGACAGAGGCCCAGCTGTATCAGATGCAACAGCAGTGTCTTACGAGCTTTACGGGCCGATACTTTATCTGTCGAAGCTGATCTGGCTGCTAGTACAACTCCAGTGTAGGAGGAAATGACTGCCAGACCAGCTGAAAAAGACACAAAAACAGTGTAGGCTTTGTCATAATTTTCACGCAAAGAATCTGGAAACCAGTTAATGTCAACACAAGACTCTTTCATCAGCAGAGTCCCCAGTTTTTCAAAAGAAAACTGTAGCAAAAATAGACCCCGGGTGACATTATTTAATGAGCTGACAGTCCAACTTGCAGTGATGGCCAGGTTTGTGTTTCTGATGGTGATGATGGAGGCGTGCTTCAGAGGGTAGCACACTGCGACATATCTCTCCAGAGACATCACCACCAGGATGAGAGGAGAAATACCTTCTGTGAGAYTGGCGAGCACAGCGAGCATACCGCATAGAGGATATGTTAATTTGACTTCACAGATRGCGAGCAGGAAAAGAGTCTGGCTCGTTGCCAACTGGGCAGTGTCTGCAACAAGAAGGTTGTACAGAAGAATGTAACGACAGGTGTCGCGAAACACAGGTTTACTCCTCAGAGTGAATATCATGATGCCATTWACAAGGAGAAACACACAGGCTGGAATTGTAGACATACAAGAAAKCAACACTAATTCCAAAACACTCCGAGACTGCAACCCTACAGTGATGTTAGAGTAYGAATAGGATRTATTTGACATAGCAAATAATAGGGGTACACTTAATAGATATAACTTGTTGATGGTGCTAAAAATAAAAACAAATATAAATCCAGTWAAACATTCTTACACCAGATAACATACAACAWGACAACATACCACCAGTTAAGTATACAGTATATCTATGTAAAGACTGAGCAGGTAACTGGCAGCTTAGACTCAATGATGGTCTGTGTGTGGGCAGAGC